TTTCAGTTACTGACACTGGTGATGTATCACCACTATGCTAAAAGAATTGAACATGAATGAAATAACAGTATTCTTGAATAGTACTATAGATAAATAAACCTGTTTATGACTAACCAAGCACTTAGTTCCTAATAGCTTAACCTGTATGGCAAGGTCCAACTTCAGTTATGTACTATTGAATGAGAGGACAAATTGAACTTGATTACTGATTATTCTTCCTTTGTTTAATGTTTAAATTGAAGAGTCAAACAATATTAATAAAACATTATACTTTTAAAAACAAATATTCTATAGTAGATTTAATTATCAATATGTTATTAGTTCTATGTTTATTTTACCTCTTAAATATTGTTCAGATAAAATTGTGACATAATTTGAGTAAAAGGGTTTTGGACAGTTTAAGACAGTTTTGGACAGGACGGCTTAAAGCGTGGATTAATCCATTCTGTTCTAAACACTGCCAACCCTGCAACAACTGAATCTCAAAATGAAAACACGCAATTAGTAACTCCTTTTTGAAAAGTCCGATTTGTGTGATTTTGCCGTCGATCTGTTTTGTTTTTTTTTTTTCAGTAGTTAATGATGATTTACAAAAGACAAAAAAAATATGTCTTTCCCCCCTACAAAATGCAAGAATATAGGCATAATATTAAGATAAAAAAAATATTACATATTCAATTTCAAAAAAAATTTTCTTCTGTTAGTTTAAATTAGTAACATGTATATTTGTTATTTTTAAAAGCATCTTGCAGAAAGATATTAGTATTAGAGAGGTATGTCGCAGAAAGCTCGAAAAAATTCCGTCGCAAGGCAACTATTTATATTCATACATGCATTTAATAGAAACACACAACTAAATTATTAAAATCAAACGTAGGTTCTAACTTAAAATGAAGTAGATGGGGTATTTATTATCATCTATAAATATAGTCATGTAAATACATATTATACATCACATTGAGTAGCTGTTAATAAAGAAAACTTTATACAATATGAATTTAATGTCATATTTTAGTTTTAATAAAAAAAATTTCCTACAATGCAGGATTAACTTAACTTTTTCTTTATCAAGTTAAAGGAAGGAAGTACATCTTTCTTTAAAGCTATTTTTATCGTTTTATTACTGCTGCTACTTTTTGCACTTTATCATTAGCTGAATAGACCCAAACATAAGTCAATCTTCTATTTTAAAATAAGTTCTCAACATGTCCAGCTTAACATAGAAACTTACTTATTGCAATAAAAAAGTCAAAGCATTAAACAAACTGAAGATTCAAAACAAAATAAAGATTCTAAAACAAAGAAAATTTTGCTAAAAAAATTTTAAAAAGCAAAAGAATAAAGATTTGGTAGAAACTACTGATATTTCAGTTAACTCTGACAAGTACAATTTATATTGAAGTAGGAATATAAAATTTAAATTTTTACACATAATTGTTATCATTATAGTATAAAAAACTTTTTTCATAATAAAATGTGAATAAATGTTTCAGTGAACGCTGTTCTTCAAAAGCTCTTTTCTCACATGAAATGTAACTACCTAGAGAATATGTTGACTTTATTTTTCTTTTTTGTTGTGAGTATGCAAAAGTTATTTATAACTGTTCGGTCAAGTCTAATCAGCACCTAACAGTCCCTGGTCAAATTATTAGACGCACAATAAGATTCTATGTAAAATCTTAATTATCGGATGACACTATACAGCTTTATTGCTTTTATGCAATTGAAAACGGTTTGCACTTGCTTACATTTGCGTATCAATTGGTTAAATTAAACAATATATAATGTAAATTACACGTTTGGATAAATTAGACGATATATGATATAAATATAGAATATTTATTATATCAGGTATTAATTACATTATTATATCATAATAATTAGATCATATTATTAGACGCACTGTAGTGTTTTAATAATCATATATTTTGCACGAGTTTATATGAAATACGTTTATAATTAAACATACATGTAATGGGTCTTCATTCAGGAGCTTCTTTATATAATTCCTATTTGTATTTATTTTTAACGTATTTCATTACAATGTTAACCAACTGATACACGAACATAAACAAGTGTAAACTGATTTCAGCCACGTCAAAACAATAATGCTGTATAGCAGTGTTTCCCAAACTTAAGACTTCTGCGTACCCTTTCAGAATTTTTCGTAATGCTGTGTACCACTAATAAAAAAAATATTGTATTTTTTACTATAAAAAAAATTGCACAAAAGTTAAAAATCACAGCTGACTGTTGACACCACTAATTATTAACTGTTAACTCTGCAAAAAATAGCCTATAGAAAAATACGTAATCGTAATTTTCATGGCTAGCTCTGTTTTTAAGTAAAATTGTTTGAAATTTTCGTTAGTTGCAAGATATTTTGCATAGGAACGCGTACTCCCTAAACTGCTCCCATACCTCTGGGGGTACGCGTACCACACTTTGGGAAACACTGCTGTATAGTATCACCAGATAATTAAGATTTTACACAGAATCTTATAGTGCGTCTAATAATTTGGTCAGGAACTGCATATTTGGGGGGGGGGAGAAAGAAAGTAAAATATTAGTTTAAAATTCAAGCTTTGCTTCAAGATGAAAGCACACAAACTATGGTAGTGTTTTCATTACAGAAAAAAAATGAGAGAGAATTTCTCACCCTTTCTCAAAAACAGGGTGAGATCTCAAAAAGTTAAGTGAGATTTCTAAAAATTAAAATAACGCAAATAGACTTGGAAAAAAATATTTCTTTAATTATAATACATTTTTAACATCTAATTTTTAAAGCATTGAATATTTTTGCTGCATCATCATATGGAAAACGTTCTATATCTACTTTTTCATCAGCTATTCTCATTACGTTGCTCAAATGTTTATCAGTCATTTGTATAAGATATTTTGTCCTAATTCGGTTTTGAGTGCTAAATGACCTTGCAACAGATGCTGAAGAATTCGGAATCTCTAAGTAAATTTGCAGTATTGAAAAAAATTTAAACGTCTTACATGAAGAAATATTACCTTCCGTGAACACGTGGTTGCAGAAAAATGTGTTCTGAAAGGTGTTCTGTCATTCGGGGGGGGGGGGCATTGTGTTCTGCTGTTGGCACTGGTTATGAACAATACTGGTAAATAGGGAAGCTAGATAACAGGGATCCATGTTGAAAATAATGAAAGATCAAGGAAGAAAAGTGAAACGCATTTTATTCAAAATGGCAGAAGACGAATTTTTTTCCAAAATTCGAGCATTTTGAAATTGATTAATAGAGTGTGCGATCTTCTCGCGTTGATAATTTTTTAATGAGAGAAAAGAAAAAAATAAGCGAGATTCTCACGTTCTCGCGCTGTAGTGAAAACACTGCTATGGCTTATTTTCGTTTGTGAAAATTTCATAAAACATAAACATCTTAAATTGTTAATCTGGTTAAACATGGAGTAGGTAAAAAAGAGTCTACATGTCAACAATTTTTTGAAAAAAGAATGAAATCTATATATTACTTGTTCTTTGTTATGAGCAACAGCTGGAAGAACATTACTAACGGTTCTTTCAACTAAAATCCCTCCTATCATTCGATAACAAACTCTTTCAGGATTAACATCTCTTAGTGCATCTACAACAAGGCTGAAAAATATTTTTTGTTCCATTAAAATATATATAGAAAAATTAAAAGAAATTTTCAATAAATATAAAAATATATGGTGGAAACATTTGTTGTGGAGCAACCAAGGAATTTTTTGGTACAGTATACATGTACCAGTTTACTTTAAAAAACAAACACATGATAAAAAAAAGCATAATTTGCTCTACCTAAGTACTGCTTGTCTAAGATAGGTACTCTGCCAGACATTCGTCTGGAGCTGTGGCGGTGACTATGGCAACAAGCAGGGTTGGGTTTTTGCCGTAAAAAACTGATGTTTGACATGACAGTGGTAAAAACCGTGCTTTTACCGGTAAAAATGGTCAAAAACTTACTGATTTCTTTAATTTATGGCATATAGCAGACAATATATTATTTTCACATAATTGCCTTTATAAATGAATGTTGTAAATGATTGCTATCGATTTTGCAACTATATACATGTATTCTTATAGGAGGATATACATTCATATAGAAATATTGCTGTTTACTTATTGAAAAGAGTGAAACTTACTTTTATCATTATAGCTTGATATGCAAAGTATTCAAAATTTTGCACTTCTTAATTGTTAGAAATAAACAAACAAACAAAAAAGCTTGAAACTATTAATAAATTCAAGAACTAAAAGGAAAATTATAAAATTTGGCATTTCTTAAATATTAGAAATAAGCTAAACAAAACTTTCAAAACTTGCAATTACTAACAAACTCTAAGTCAAGAATGACTTGACATTCTTCAGTAATATAATATGCCAAACAAAATGATGCTTGGAAATGTTGAAAATTTTGTTTAGTATCCTAATATTTTAATTCAAATAGTATGTTTTGATATAATCATGTTGGGAAAATGCAAGAATCTGTTCTTAAATATCTTTTAACAACCTTTTTTCTAATTTTATTGCCCAAAAATGAATTAATTTTAAATTATAAGCAGTTAAACTCAAATAAAAATACAGTTTTACCAAAACTATGGGTTTTTTGACATGACAGTAAAAACCATGATATAAACCGGTAAAAACCGTCACGTGTCAAAAACTTGCCAACCCTGGTAACGAGGTATGATAATTTCAAGTAGGGGTGCGGGATCCCTCTTTAGGAATGGTTTCGGCGAGAGAAGAGACCTCTTTCGTTGAAGCTACCCTCCCTAAAATGCCCTCGTTTCCATAGCACCAGACTGCCGCAGACTTAGCGGCGGTCAGAGTACCTATCTTAGACAAACAGTTCAATAAGGGCATACTAAGTCAGGGGTCTGTTTAGAAGAAATTTGGATCCATTAACGGACCCTTCACAAAATATCTTTTTATAAAAACGGACCCTTCATAAAATAATGTATCTTTTAATCGGACTCTTCACATGAGACACTCGATAGACATTTGCATATTATTGTAAATGGAAGGGGAAAATTGACTGATGCTGAGTGTTCAGCTATTATAGATATTTTCAAATCTACTGGCAATCAACGTATATTGCTCTAATATTTCGTGAATCATGTTTTTCTGCTTTTATTTTAAGGCTAAGTTTGATCTCATTTCATTTATATTATGTACCTAAACCTCTTTGAAGTAAAGAAAAAATTTATAAATTCCAAATGTAGCATTCTAAGAAAATATTTCTACTTCTACAAACATCGTGAGAACATTCTTATTGATATTAAATTATACTTTATTTGGTAAATAAATAATTGAGCAACATATTATTCATAAAATTAATTGATAAAATATTATGTCAATAAAAATTAACTTCTGTCAATTTTTTTTTTTTAAAAAATTATAAATTTAAGAATTGTTCAAGTTTTCTTGATGTGTAACACATAAGTGATACATAATTAAGTTGTGTTTTTTTAAAATATGTGAATTGAAATTATTAAAAATGTGAGCGATTTTGTTTCCATTATTCCTTTGAAATGAATATTCTGTGTTGAGCAGTATAGGCTAAATACCAAATATTTGTATGTTAAGGCAAGGTGTGCGATTCTTGTTTATCATTGGCGCCATCTAAGGCCAAGAATTCGACTTCTGCCACGTACGTCACACCTGTTTATAAGGCGGACCCATTCATACATCCCTTCATTCATCCACAGATCGTAATTTTGACCTGAATCAGAGAGCTACCAGTACCCCCAGAGGTATTGATTTGTTATGGAAACATGGAGGACTTTGCGACTTGACAGATTTAACGTGCATCAGTCACCATTTACTACACGGGGAGTCTTCGGCTGGCGGGGTTCGAACCCACGAACAGGATATCCCGGCACCTATAATTAATAACACGTATATTTGTTATTTTTAAAAGTATCTCGCAGAAAGATATTAGTATTAGAAAGGTATGTCCCAGAAAGCTCGAAAAAATTTTGCCATGGGGACTTCTTTAAGAAGTTACTTTAATGTGGGGTTTTAATAATTTTGAAGCCACAACACAGTAAATATGCGTTTTAGCATTTGCATTCAAAAGTAATTTTCTGTATAAACTATTAATTAAAATAAAAAGATATTGCATCCAAAATATAAATTTTCCAATTATTCAAACTTGTTATTTTTGGAACTGCATTAGTATTTGATTCAATGGATTAAAACAAATAGGAAATGTATGCTTCATAAAATTTAATTAAATACTATTATAAATTGTATACAGCTGAATAATGATATTAATTGAATAATNTTCAAAAGTTAAATTAAATTTTAATTTAATGACTTTTGAAGAAGCATTAAATATATTTTTAAAAAAATGTTTGCATAAATCATTCATGTATGTGTAGTATAATAAATATTTTCATTTACTCTTCATCTTTCACCTTCTTTTTGATTTTATCAACCTATGTTTCCTCATAAGAACCATGTATTTTAAACCGAAATATATTTTATAAAGGGTTATTCAGCAATTTTTATCTACTTTCTTACTTCGATAAATTAACTTACGTTCATGAAAATTTATAAGTAAAAAATGCCTAAAAATTATACATTAGGAGCCGCGTACGCTTCGCGCAAGCGCTATTTATGTGAAGCAGAGGGCCGATATCTCTGAAGTGCCCAGACCGATTTCAGATCCCAGTCCGGGCCTGGGTATGTCCCAGAAAGCTCGAAAAAATTTTGCCACGGGGGACTTCTTTAAGAAGTTACTTTAATGTGAGGTTTTAATAATATTGAAGCCACAACACAGTAAATATGCGTTTTAGCATTTGCATTCAAAACTAATTTTCTGCATAAACTATTAATTAAAATAAAAAGATATTACATCCAAAATATAAATTTTCCAATTATTCAAACTTGTTATTTCTGGAACTGCATTAGTATTTGATTCAATGGATTGAAACAAATAGGAAATGTATGCTTCATAAAATTAAATTAAATACTATTATAAATTGTATACAGCTGAATAATGATATTAATTGAATAATACCGAAATATAGCATTTTTATGTTACAGACAAGGAAAGAGGAAGAATCATTCTTTAACATATACAGTCAAACCCCGCTATAGTGAACCTTCAAGGGACCAAAATTTCGGTTCACTATAACCGGGGGTTCACTATATCCGTTACACAGGCAATTTAACTAATGGTCCCCAAACTCCTCCCTTTTATTACACATTATTCAAATAAATGACTGGAAAATATTATGCCGTAGCAAAAAATTATTTTTCATTACTCTACATCTTACGTGCAAAAAAAAAAAATTAGTAATCTTTCCATAGGCTACAAAGTGCAGATTTGAATAGTTTATATTTCCTTACAAATATTAACTTGATTGCATCCATTTCAAATTTTTCTGATTATGCCCATTTTATCTTCAATAGAGAAGGTTTTACGTATGCTGCTCGCCATAGTTAAATTTTAGACACTTGTTTGCTGGATTTTTTTAAAACTAAACTGAGAGTAAAAAGGAGTTGAGATGAGGGCCTTATCAACACATATTAGTGTCCAACCCTTTGACCAATAATGAATAATTACTCATTCCCTCTGACAGAAAATGCATATTGATCCCACTGACACCTTACAGGTGCATCGTCTGCCTGGGTTGAAAACATCTATTGGTTTGTTTAGGAATGGGAAAGTGAGAGAAAAGAAGCAAACAAGAAAAAATGCTTATCGCTACATTCCCCTTTAGATGGTTTTGAAAATCGGTATATGTATTTATTTTGAAGTAGACATTTCAAAATTATTTTTAAAAAAATTGAAAGAAATCAGTCGAAGACAGAAAAAAGTTCATTATATCCAACTTCCTCACTTTTCTGGTTCACTATATCCACAAAAAATAACATTATCCGTGTATAGCAAGGCACAGGACCGAACATTTTGTTCATTATAACCGGAAGTTCACTATAAACCATGTTCACTATAGCGGGGTTTGACTGTATTACTAAAATAAAATTTAAATGTTGAATGTTTATTTGCACTCTAGGTGGAGTTGAAAGGTAATATAAAAGCATACTTAAAGTATTCAATTCTTCCTTTCCTAATTATTATTATTTTGTTAGCATATAGGTAAAAAAGAGTCTACATNCGAAAAACTACATTGATTGAGATTGGGTGCGTCAAAAACTTAAAAGTGTAAATTTAAATTACCGAATTTTTTTTATTATTCTTCAAAAACAAATATTTAAATTTTTTTAAAATTTTGTTCAGATTGCTGCCGCGGGCCGCACATCGAGGGTTGGCGGGCCGCATTTGGCCCGCGGGCCGCAGGTTGAGCACCCCTACATTAGTATATAGTTAAACGCTATGAAATACTTTGGAATGGTTTGATTAATTTAAATTAAGGGTTTAAAAAAACAGGTATAATTTTTTTTCTTCTTTTTTTTCAAAAAAAAGAAGAAAAATACTTGTTTTTTTTTAACCCTAGATACATTGAATACAACTATTATGTGATATTGGCTAATGTTCAAATAACAGAATAGGAATTTTACTACAGTTTTTTTTTCCAATCTTTTTTCGGCAGTTACTGCTACAATTTCATGATTTTTTTAATGGGATGATAAATTACAAAATGAAAAAAAAAAATTGTAGTGTGCAATCCCCCTTACAAAATGGGAGTATATTGTCCAACCCCATGGCAGAATCGCAGTGCGTGTCGACATTGTTGCAGAGTTTTTGCAGAAAAATCTTTCTTTTGAAAAGTAAAAAAATAATTTATTTTAATTTTCTACAGAAATTTACATGTAATAGTTAAATCATACATTTAGATAAACACTTTTTGACACGCTCAATTTGCGCCAATAGTATCGTAAATCAATGTAATGTTTCGACCGTAGTTTTGGCTGTTATTGATATTGATTACGTTATTGAATTCACATGGATTCTAAATATCTCGATATATTTCAAACAATATGGAAAATCCGAATCGCACAAATGAATATTTACTTTTTAAGGCAATAATTCCATTGAATTTTTGACAGTTATTGCTATTGATTTCTCGATAGTTTTCAAATTCGATATTTTATGTTACAAAAATCTAATCTCAAAAGAAACACACATTTGAGGAGTCCGATTCATGTAATTTCCTCGTCAATCTTTTTTCGGCAATTGCTACTAAAGATTTCATGATTTTTAATTATTTCTTTTATTGTGATGATTATACTTATTTACCATATTTTTGAGTTGATTTTTTAATATAATTTTTAATTTTCACAAATTATGCATAAATTTTCACAAAATAGGTACCTTTTAAAAAACCTAGACCGACTCCTGAAATATATCGCCACAAAAAAATTTAACCATCAACAAATTCAATTTTGATAAGAAAAACAAATCTTGTGGCATAACAGTTTTTATGTCAAACAGATAATGCATAAAATGCACGAAGGTGCAAACACATTCATGGAAAATTTTGATAATATTACTCTTTTTAACAAAAATAGTCAAAATTTTTACTCAGTTGTTCACTTTGGAAAATTTGGATACAACAATAGAAAACTTGGCAAGTCAATGACTTGTTTGAATCTTTCAAAAAATTGGATTAGCCGGTTTGTATATTAATCAGTATTAAGCCTTCTAAAATCAAAACACTTTTAAAAAAAGTTAATGGCTCAAAAAAAAATTTTTAAATTCGGTGATTCAGAAAGGGTTGAAACTAGCTAGAAGAGTAAAAAAATTACCAGCACAAAGTTTTTCAATTCAGATATGCTCAAAAAAACTTCTCATTTTACCTTAGTTTGGTGAAAAGATAAGCTTTTTGACCAATTTGAAATATTAATAAAGGAATTACAATGCTGAAAATTAAAAAAAGGAATATTGTCATTGTTATTTAATTACATATTTTCTTGGTAACTAAAAACAATTAAAAGAAAACAAGTATAAAAGTTTTAAAGCAAATACACAGTTATAATTTTGACCCTGGGTCCTGGTTGACATTACTCCTGGATTAAAAATGGTACTCATTATTATTAAATTTAATGGGCAAATTTCAACGACAAAATATTTGCCAAGTTTTAGCAACATCCTGAGAGTGGAAAGCTAAAACAATTCGTAAAAGGGGTCTAACTCAAAGGACGTAATTCATAGCCATCTCTGGGCGAATCGCTACTTTTCTTTAAAAAAATTTTGGAGCTTTGCAGATTGTAGTTATCTTAAACAGGTAGCAATTACAGGCATTAAGGTGGACAAAAATAAAAAAAGCTGAACTTTTACATTACAGTTACTGGGAGGGAAGTGTTCTATATACTATGATATCAATGAGATTGATAAAAAAGCAACTTGATCTGTCAGGAGATTCTTATTTTATATTTTTTATATTTAAAGTGGCAGAAGACGGTGAAATTTAAATTTTCTCAAATATAATTTTAAAATTCTTTGACCACTACTATATTATTTCATATCCGTCGTTGGGGATATTTCCGTATCGGGATATGACACACCAACAACCGCCAAGGTGCCAAATAGATTTTAAACTTGCAAATTGTTTATAAAAAAAAACATGTAGATGTTTGCCCAGGGGTGGCTACGAGCTATATCTTTCGAGTTGGTCCCTTTCTGTGACGTTTTTTTCAGTTTCTCACGGGCCAAGACTTGGAGAGAGTTCTGCCACTGATCACGATATGGAATCTTTGAACAGCCGATGCAATTTTGGCTTCACGACTTGCTTTTTTTTTTTTAATTTGAAAGTTTAAAATCTATTTGGCACCTTGGCGATTGTAGTTGGTGCGACAGATCACGATACAGAAATATCCCCGGCCGCTGTACAAAAGTTGCCAAGACTTACCGAAATCTCCCCATAATTGGCTATGAGTTCTACCCACGTTCTGAATCGTACTTATTTATTTCTCACTGGTGAACATTTGGCGATAATTTTGGCAAAAGTACCGATACATAAATTTCTCCTAAGCTTCAAAAGTATTTTTCTACTACATAAATTCTTTAATGAAAGTTATATTTCTAACTCAGTTACTGTGAGGTACAGAGTAGCGATAAAAAAAAAAGTAAAATATTACATACAATGGATAATTTAGACACTGGCAAAAATACTGAAAAGGGTTATTATTTTCAATTACGAAAGCCGGGATAAATAATACACATGGTTCGTTTAATATAGTTTGATTTATTTTATACCTGTGCTCATTTAAATCTTGTTCAACTTCAGTTAATCTTGATACTAAAGTCTTCTGTTCTTGTCTTAGTTTATTGAAAGTCGCAATAATTTGCTCCTGAGTGAATTTTTTAGATTTGTCGCTAGTTTTTACTGACTTTTCTCCCTCAGAAGCCATCTTGACAAGACCAAAACTATTCTAATTGTTGCCACTAATATTTTTCTAAATAGCAAGTCATTTACTGAAAGCAAACGTTTCTGGCTACCGATTTTAGTTAAGCTTACGGTCTCAATAAATTCATTAATTTTTTCAAAGTCTATTCTAACTAAAGGCAATTAATGAACATCCGATCTCCATGAAGAAAGAAAGATAACCTTCTGATGGAATAAATATATTTTCCAGCGAAAATCTCCTGTCCTCTCCATTTCTTTTAGGGAGATCAGAAATGCGTAGACAGCATTCAGAGATAATGGCACTTGGGTCATTCTAAGTGCATGCAAAAGATACGCATCAGGATGAGAATCACTGATTACTGAAATATATACACTTATGAAAAATTCGTCAATCAGATTCTCATTCCTATTCAATCCTATTCATCAGAAGCTATCGACGAACATTTAAAATTTAATCTCTTGCTTTCGGTTTAATTTGTTTGAGAACAAGAAAAAAAGTTATTGCGTACGCATATGTGCTACTCAGCAGTAAAATCTTACCGGAATTCTTTTCTTAAGATTTATAATAATAAATTCTATTTAAATTACAGTCCTAAATATATTCCCCTTTAGGAAGAAAGTGTTGAGACACTATGAGAAATTTCTGAAGATTTCTTGTGCTCTCTGGTTTTACGTGACGACTTATATTTCACTCCTATATTAAACATTAATTTCCAAATTCGGCCCCATTTATAGCCAATTATGGCCCAAACCGCAAAATTGCAGAACAACTAGCACAATGAGACATTATTAGGTACCATTTTGCTTCCAATTCAAATCCTTGGAAATGACTTAGAAACTAAAATTATCCCATTTATCAGCTCGATAAACCGCAGTTCCATGGAATGAAATTTCCAATGAATACAAGCTCGACATCCGGTCTACTTTGTTGCAGTATATATAAAGATCAAGGCTTATAATTCTTCTTTTTAACACACAATTATTCTATTCTTCAAAAATCCTTTTTATGATTTCTGTCCCGCTCTCTGTCTCTTTTTTTTGCAGTAAAGCTTTGATTAAATATTTTATATTATCGCTCTCAATATTCTATTTCATAAAAGAAGCGTTGGGACATTTCAAAAAATTTCCAAAGATTTCTTGTGTTTTCTGGGAAGGGAATGAAATTATCGACTATGTCAACCCTAAAGGTACCTCATGATAGATCTGCTCATTATATTTTCTTCATTTTTTTTTTTTGTTTACAGCATTTCTCTCATTATTATTTTTTTTCCTTTCATTTTCTTCTTTATAGTATTTCCCTCATTATGGATGGTGTTTTCTACACTAGGGAACGCTGCAAGCTCGAGACTGCCTAAATTTCCGGGTTAGTGTTTCAGTTGTATTTGAAAGCCATTTGGCATCATTATGCTTTGAGATTCTTGCAAACAATGTATTTGATTACTTATTACTTATGTTTACAATGCTAAAAATACGTATGTTTACAATACTAAAGGTGTTAACACTAACGTAAGATGGTGCACAGCTTGCAACACGAACAAACAGTAATAAACAAATGGAAAGAGGCCAAATCAAAACTGCCAAAAGAGCAAGTTATTCAAAATCTAGCAACCATGTCACCTTTTTTAATAATAATTAACATAATAACTAAAACAAATTTTCACTCCAAACTCCCCAGAATTACATAATAACATTAATATCTTATGAAATGCGGCAGATTTGAGCTCAGAAATTATCTAGTTTATTTCTTTTATTGAAAACAAAATTATCCGTTTGAAAACATCGCCTATCAGAATAACATGTAGTAAGCAGCTGCAAACTTTTTAACCGGACCTAGAGTAGGTCCCGACCTCGAGATTGTTATTAATTACATTTCTACTGAAAACACCATTTTTTTCAAAAGTATTTCGCTTATTTTTCCCCTTCATTTTTGTTTATTTACCGGGAGACTTTATTTACTTCGCCGGATTTTTTTTTCTTTGAGCAGTATATTTTTAAAGAAATCAACTGTTTAATGTGGATCCTCCATCTATATTAGCAAGTTCTTATGACCTCCGGAGGTCACCAATGAGGGGAATTATAAATCGACTATGTCAACCTTCATCTATCAAAAGGTACCTCAAGATAGAATCAAGCTAACCTGCCTTATATACTGGCTAATTGGTATTCAATATTTATTGTGGTAGTTACGCCACACAAGAAAAGGAATAAGACCGTGAATCACAATATGAAGGTAAATGATTTATGATAAAAATGTGATGAATCGACTTGTATGTTATGGAAAAAAGCTGTAGTTCTAGGAAAAAAGGAGAAGTGTGTCATAATTCGTGTAATTGGGAGTATTCTGTTTGTTCACTAGCTGCATCCCTTTGATCCCTTAATATTTCTATGAGCAAGAATTTGAAAGCTATTGCGGTTGCCGCACCTCTGATCACCGCTGACGGAGTAAAGAAATCTGATTGGTGAGTTTTTCAAGGCAAAATATATTTCACCAATAAAATTATCATATTTCTCGGGAGGTACGGTCACCGTTCTGTGTGATCACTTTCGTTCTTAGTCACGGTGGCCGCGCTCTCGTGAGCTTTTGAGAAAACTATACACAGCTCAACTTAACTCTTCAGAATTTTGTAGTACTCTGGTCATCTGTAGTTACAGAAGTGCATAAATATTAAGTATTTATATATGAAAACATTTCTGAAAAGGTTATAAGTTTATCTTAAATTTAAGCATTTTCAATACTTCTCTTCCGATCATCGATAGTTACAAAAGTTTCATATTAATTTGACGTTTAATGCTTCAATTTGCTTTGCGTGTCACTAGGTGAGCATTACAAATGGCCGATATGGAATAACTGTTTGCAGCCGAGTAAATAACATGCAATATTTTTCTTACGAGCACTGCCTATATTTCTAGCCAAATGCAATACTTACTTACTTCTTGTTAAGCTTTTATAAACTATCATGGTTTGCTTAGTTTTGTTTTTTTAATGATTTGGAAACAATTAAGTTCTTTTTAATTCGAAAACGATTAATTTACTTTTCTTCCAACAAAATTTTACTATTCTTTGTTGAATAATCCAATTTCATATCTTAATCATGTCTTATGAGTGACATATTTATATAATCAGCTTAATTTTTGTGCATTTGGGATCGTAATTAAAGCAGTTTAAAAGTTTTAACTTAATTGTCATTCACTGCATTTTTGAATTTTTGTTAGAATTAATTTCTTTGTCAATCTGCCTTGTTTTTATTAATCAGTTTTTTAATTTTTACAGATGACTGGATTCTAATCAAACCCAGCTGTTGTTTACTACATTATTTACATGGTTAGTTCTACTTTTCCTTCTTGTGGTATCTTAAATTAATATAAAATGAAGAACTTAACATTAAAAATCTGTTAGTTTTAAAACTATGACATATATATTTGTAAAATATTTTGTTCTCAATACATTTTTATGTTGCCATTTAAAATCTATGAAAGAATTGTAGCAATTGTTTATATTTTATATGATTTCAATTATAATTTGAGCTTTTTGAATCATTTATGGTTCAGATTTATTCAGATCAAAATTTTAGCAAATCAAGAATATTGAATTATAAACAAATAAGAGTAGTTAAGTTTTTAAAGACATATAAGTAGTTCAGTATTTTTGGTCATTTAAATTAGGTGAGGGTGATTTAAATTAAATACATTATAAGTAAAAGTATCAAAAGTGCAGATTATCTTTTAAACATAATGCCAAGGACAGCATTTATTAGGAAGATTTCTGTATCGTGATCTGTGGCAGAATAAACGCCATATCTTGGCGTCATCCCGGCAGCGGCCGCAAGAAACTAAAGATAAAATCATCACAGAAAGGGATCAGCTTGTAAGGTATAACACGTAACCACCCTCAGACTAAGATCTAAATTTTTTTTATTTGAAAAAGGTTTGACAAGTTTATAATCTATTTGGCACCTTGGCGATTGTAATTTGCATGTCAGATCAGGATGCAGAAATATCCCCCATTAATTGTCTGTTCTAGATAAATTGAAAATGAAGCGTTTGTTTCTATTTGTATTTTCTAAATTTACTTGGGATGATGTGAAATTAAATTTGCTTATATGCTAGCTGTTTATTGATGGTTTAGCTATATGTACTTTATTTTTTCGTTGATTTGGTTTGGTATTGTTAAGCTGTAAATAAATATTGAATAAGCTATGATTGTATTGCAAACATATCGGTCTATGTGCATAAAACAGAAAATTATACTACTAGACTTAGAAAAAATTTAATGAATATTGTTAAAAGTACAGTCAAAACTAAGATATTTGTTTTTTTAAAAGCTATAATTTAGAACTGAATATTGTTTGTATTCTTCATTTCTTTTTCTATATTGCATTAAGGATTTCCATATGTGTTAGAGTTAAATATAAAGTATAAATTTTGTATTTTATTTTTTAGGTAGCATATATTTCTGTACCTTTTAAATCTATTTGGATTTAACTTAAAAACTTTAATTTCTTTTTCTCTTCAAATCTTTAAAAAAATGTTTGTTCAAATTCGAGCATCTTTGCTATTATGGATATTTTCTCCTAACTTTATTATGCATTTGCCAAATTTTAAACTATCTGAAAGAAATACTTTTAAGGAAAAAATCTAATTAAAATATGTATGGAAGTAGGTTAAAATGTTAATTTATGTTCTTTTGTTTAAAGTAAATAAAATGTCATCTTTATTATGATATTATAAATTTTATGTGTTAATAATAAATAAAAGAATTTACTGTATGATGCTAGGAATAAGTAGTTGTATTACTTTATTTTTTTCCCCTTTAATTTTTGCTTGTCTTAAAAATTAGTCTCAGCTATCATAGCTACAATTATTGCAAGATCCTTAAATGTTCCATATTGTACCTTGGTTCAATTTTATTAACTTTTATTTGGTAATATTCTGTTTTAATTATTATCAAAAGAAGTGTTATTTAATGTTACTGCTAATCTAATTAGATATTCTAGTTCTAATAATCATTCAACTGTCAAACTGGTTTGTATTAATCTATAAGTAAAAATGCTATAGTCAATAGCCAAATTTGGATAAAGGATATTCTTCTATTTTTTTTTAAATGTGGGGTTAAAGTAGTAAGGTGTATTTGTACAGAGTATTGGTCAAGGTTCTGAAAAAGTTAGGTCGAATATTGCACTATGTAAGATTGAACGTTGTGGTGTTATGGTGATTCTCTTTCCTATATGGTGGTCTACTTTACAACAGTAGTCCTTTAAGATAAAGTATTTTATTAAATTTTTGAAATTTCTATTAAATAGTTTATTTTAGCAGTGAGTGCCTTTTCTTAAGTAAATTTTATTTTCTAGTAACTATTAATTTTTTTGAAGTTATTGTTTTTAAAAACTACAAATTATTTAAAAATTGAAAGAAGCACTTACTATGATTTTTTTGGTTTTTTTTTTTTTTTACAATCTTAATATTTGGTAAATAAATCTTTAAATAAATGCTATAAAATGAAAATTGTTAAGTTAATCTGTTATGATACTAGTTTTACTTTTGTAAGCGACTATATTGATTCCTTTTCTTGTTCAACATTTTTAAAATTCTTATAATAAAGAATCATATATTCTTTTCTTCCATCCCACCAAAGAATTGTAATTGTCACCTCTGTATTCAAGTTTTGCAAATTCTTATGGTTATAAATAAGCTGTTAAAAAAGACATGTGAAAGTAAAGCTATGCTGCTGAAGTGGCAATCATATTCTGTTTCTCTGCTAGCCTGCTATAAAAAATTTCTGTCTAAAGCTTTGCTGTTTATTAATGATTTTTCAGAAGCAAAGAAATTTTCAATAAGCTTTTTAACTGATACTTAATTTCAAAGTGAACTACTAGTCCTCATGGCAGAATAGTGGCGACACCGCTACATTGTCACAGAGCATTATAGAGTTTTTGCAGAAAGATTTTTTATTTGGGAAGCAAAAAGTTAAGATTTTTTTTTTATCTGCAGAATATTTTAAAGTTTTTTTTTTGCTGAGCTTTTTTTTCCTTCTATAGTGCAGAATTATTTACAAAAAATGCCTTTCCCGCATTTCAAACATAGANTTTTTTTTTTTTTTTTTTTTTTTTTTTTTTTTTTTTTTTTTTTTTTTTTTTTTTTTTTTTGCTGAGCTTTTTTTTCTTCCTATAGTGCAGAATTATTTTCAAAAAATGCCTTTCCCGCATTTCGAACATAGAAGAAACGCTCATATTTTTTTTATTTATTTATTTTTTTGCTGAGCTTTGAGAATAAAAAAAAATTCCACAATGATTGATGTTATAAGTTATAAGAATGTAATTTCCAACTAGATAAAATTTTAAAAAGTTAACTACACAAAAAAATTTTTTAGAACAGGAGAAAATTGCTATTAATAACAGATTATATATAGTATTAAAAAGAAATTCTTGCATTTATACTTAAAAAAATTATATACTGTTCTCTTTTTTTTTTTGTAAATAAGAAATGTTTGTATTAGTATTGTTGTTGAAATTAGTAATCTCTCTATATATATTTGTTATTATTAAAAATTATTTTCAGAACGGTATTAGTACTAGAGAGAATTGTCTCAAAAAGCTCGAGAAAATTCTGCCACAGGGGTACTAGTATTCTTTTTGTAAATCTGTTTCTGATTAATAGTCTTCCCTGTATGTTATATGCCCTTTAGAAAAATAAAGAATAATAATTTTTCTGTTTTAAAGTAATAGTTTTAGTCAAAAACTTTAAAAATAGTTATATCTTTGATTCTGTGACTACCCGCAAGTTTGTCTGGGAAAGAGTAAAAATGAGGTAAATATTTTATGGAACGGTGACTTTTGACTATCTGTATCCTACAATGCTGTCAATTTAATAACAAACCCAACTTTGCTAGGAATATTGAGGAATAACAAGTTTTCCTGTCATCCGACCAACTAATAATCCAGTTATTTGGTAAGGGTTACACATCTGTTGCCTTGCTTTGTGTTTTTAGATTGAAAGTACAGTCAGCGGTTGCTTCATGGTTTTTTTGCATGCTTACTTCTATGTGGTGTTTGCACTTTCTCTTTTTACTTGCTTAACGATTGTGTGTGCTTGTTGTCACTTTTGATTTTTTAAACAAGGGTTTCTCTTTGAAGATAACTTTTCCATTACTTCATGTCTTTGTTAAGTCAGTGAATTACACCTCTTCAGTGCTTCGATTTCAATAGATAATAATTAAATTTAACTTACAAAACTAATATGATGAATTATGATTTTTTTTTTGGATTATTTCAATTCATAACCAATTACTTATGATGCATTTTCACTATTATCACTATTGTAAGACAATCACTACCACTATTGTTACACATAAACACATACTACCACTATTGTAACACATGTTTAACAGCACTACTACCTGAAAATGATAAATATCTTTAAAAATAAACAATTTTTTACAATCATTAATGATCAGCAGAGATTTTGCTTACGCATTATAGCACATTAAAATCATCAGAAAGTGTATCGAGGACACAAAAGGATGATGGAGTGTACAATTCTCCATCATGTGGGGAGGAAAAATAATGGGACAGCAATCATTTCTTTTGTGAAAATCTTTGTCTTGTCTATTAATGTTTGGAATTCATGAGCATTAAGAAATTTTCTGCTCAATATTACAGATCGTATTTTTTCCTCCTTCTTGAGGTTTTTATTAATTTTGAAAACTTATTTGAAGTACTAATTTATTTCTTTACTCGTTAAATTTTGTAATTTTTGAAAATTTACATTATTTAAAAAGATTTATAATTTAAATAGGGCTTCTTTTTTAATAAAAAGTGAAGCAGGAAATTAAGTAGTCCTGAGTCTTAAGGATGCCTGGTTTCCACTGTCTGTGAATAAATGGTTGTTATATTTAAAATGCCATGACAAAACTGACTAAGATTGGCATTGAGAATAAACTTCATAATATTAATTTTGTTTTCTAATTTAAACGCTTAAATAAAGTAATTTTTTTCTTTGTAGTATGATTTATTTGACTTATGCAAACAAAATGCTTCTTGAATTTTTTTCTTTTTAGAATCAAATGGATTTTTTATTTATGCAAATAATATTTTGCAAGTTCAAATTCTGACTTTGTCATAAGTACTGCAGTATCGGAGTATTTTCTCTGGCTAGTACCTTTCACGGTTCTTTAAGTTTATTGAAATAGTAGGAGTTAAAGTTATAAAAATGTAGTGCAGTTGCTGAGTATTTTTTTTCCTTATTAATCGTTGAAATGACATATATACAAAAAAAATAATCTTATCATACAGTAAGAAGCCGCAAAATAGCGAGCTCTGAGAGCGA